AGATCCAGAAAACTAGGACACCTACTTCAAGATAGTATTTTTCCAGACATGGCAGGGAAGCTGCACCCATGAAATTTCAACAACATGGCTGCCTACACACGAGACCTGTACAAGACCATGCCAGTCAAAATGCCAGTGTGTACAGGGAAATTTTCAGACAGCCTCATTCTCATTGATTGTAAACAATCAATGGCTGTTGACAGGGACAAAAGACCTGATGGGCTTTTCAATCCGAAGTGGTGGTCAGCCCTAAGCTCATGCATACAGGGCCACAATCACACACAACACACTGCAATACATATATATACAATGTATTTAACAATAATTATAGAACTAGTAAATTTGAAAGGGGTAGTGGAGGGAGCACAGAAAGAACTGGAGTGGAGGTGATGATGTAAGTACAATGTATTTACATATGAAATTCTCAAAAAATTAAAAAAATATGTATATATATGTATCTTAGGGTTTCTATCGCTGTGAAGCGACCCCACGGCCATGGCAACTCTTATAAGTTAAAACATTTAATTGGGGCTGGCTTACAGTTCAGCGGTTTAGTCCATTATTGTCATGGTGGGGAGCATGGCGGCATGCAGGCAGACGTGGTGCTAGAGAGGTAGCTGAGAGCTCTACATCTGGATCCACAGGCAGCAGGAAATGACAGTGACACACTTGCCAGGCTTGAGCCTCTGAGACCTCAAAGCCTATTCCCCAGTAACACACCTCCTCCAACAAGACCACACCTCCTACTAGAGCCACTCCCTATGCGCCTATGGGGGCCATTTTTATTCAAACTACCACAACACACACACACACACACACACACAGACACACGCACACACACACACACACACGCACACACACACACACACACGCACACACACACACACACACGCACACACACACACACACACGCACACACACACACACACACGCACACACACACACACACACGCACACACACACACACACACGCACACACACACACACACACGCACACACACACACACACACGCACACACACACACACACACGCACACACACACACACACACACACACACACACGGTTGATATTATCACCATGACAGGCTCTAGAATCACCTAGCAGACAAACACCTGGGCGTGTCCGAGGGATATTTCTAGATTGGTTGAGGTAGGAAGAATCACCCCAATTGTAGGGAGAACCATTCATTCCACGGGCTAAGTCCTGAGCGCCATAAAAATAAAGTTGCCAGAGTGGCAGCATTCATCTCCCTCTACTTCCTGACTGCAAAGGAGTTGGTTCTCTCCTCTCATTATGGGGTCCTGGGGACTGAACTCAGGTCCAGGCTTGGCAGCACCATTGCTGAGCCATTGCACCAGCCCACACACACCTGGCTTCTTTGCCCTGAGTGTAGGGGTGGGGTGTTACAATAAATCTTCCCGCCAAATGCCGCCTGAGCCCTACTGCCACGTGGGCAGTCTCCTCCAGCCGCCTGAGTTCTGCCCACCACGTGGATGGACAAAATAATACAGAGACTTATTTTAGGTACAAATGCTGCTTGGCCAATGACAAGGATTCTCATCTGTTAGCTCAGTATTAATTATCCTAAATCTATATATTTTATAAGACTTATCTTATCGGACACCTTCCATTGGCATTCTCCCTTGCCGGTGGATCACATTGCAAACTGGAGGAAGAGCGGAGGGGAAAAGGGACTACTTCCTACTTGTCCTTCCTTAAATATGAGTCTCCTTGCTATGTCACTTCCTGCCTGGATCATCACTTCTTTACTACATTTCCCAGAATTCTCTTTGACTCCTAGTCCCTTTTAACTGGCTGCCTCATTGGCCAAACAGTACTTTATTCAACAATCAATAAGATGAACATACACAGAAGTACATTCCCCATCAGTGGGGCTATATGGTATCTGAACTAGAGTGTTTTCAAGTAAGTCATAGAACTGGGAGTTCAGAAACACTGTCTTATAAGCAAATAGCATCTTCCAAAGTAGAAGCCAAGAGACAAGAAACCAGAGAAACACTATTTTGCTCTGCAGTTCCTCTGAGCTGTAGCTTATATCCCTAGAGATGGGATTTTGTGTTGACAGCCATGACTTGTCTCTTTCTCCCACAGCTTAGAAGGGACATGGTACAAACATTAGAACGTACTAGGGACAGGTTTCCTTGGAGCTGCAGGACAGTGGAGTGAACTGCGGGAGGTGCCAGACTGCATGGCAGGGAGGGACTATAGAGCAAAGGCACAGCAGATGGGCACAAACCAGCTGCACACACCTGACACCAGACCACTAAAAGCCAAGCTAGAGCTTGGGGGTGAGGCACCTGGTAACTACAGTGGTGGTCAGAACGGGAATGGTCCCCAGAGGCTCATTATTTGAATGCTTGGTCCCCTGTCAGTGGAACTGTTTGAGAAGGATTAGGAGCTGTGGCCTTGCTGGAGGTGTGTCACTGGGCTGTGCTTTGAGGTTTCAAAAGCCCCCATTCCTAGTTAGCTCCTTCTGCCTCATGTTTGTGGATCAAGATATGAATGAGCCTCTCAGCTACCGCTCCAACATCATGCCTGCCTGCCTGCTCCCATGTTCCTCATCATGGTAAGTTGTCTTGGTCAGGGAATTTTGTCACAGTGTTGAAAAGTAACTAAGATACCCATCACCTCTCCAGGTGGGTCCCCTGACTTGGATCACAGAGCTAGGAGAGTGAGGCTCCCTAACTTTGTCCCTCATAATGCAGCATCCAGGGTGAGGTTTCCACTCAGCAGAGAAAAGGGGTTTTCTCAAAATGAACCAATAAAGAAACAGACACTCAAAGTAACTAGATCACAGGGCTCCTCAATAGCTTTTATTCTTCCTCTTCCTTTCTTTTTTGACATTACTTGGGATACACTGTCGGGCATCTGAAAATCTCTCTCTTTTTTTTTCTTTTTTGTTTAAATAAGCAACTTATAACAATGGGAGGATTTCATTCCAGTGCTTCAGAAATGTGATCATTCATCCCTGGAAGGGCTCATTAGCCATGGCTCTGGATAACTGAGGTTTTGTCATAATTTCCATGTGCCACCTCAGACAAACAGCAGTGTCTTGGTAACACTTAAGTGCTTTGGAAGGGCAGAAAAAAAAATCTCTACAAGTTTAAGTGTCCTGACGGTGTGGGCTAGACACGGCTTCTGTAGTCCGAGGTAACAGCAGAGTACTCAGCAAACAGTGGCTCTCCGGCCAGGATCCTCCAGGCCAGCTGCTCCGGTTGATTGCCTTGAGTCTTCTGGCAGAAGATGGACTGGCAGAAAGGGGTTACAGAATTGTCTAGTGGTCCCCACCTCCGTGGCTGCCAGTGGTGATGAGTAAGCCCTTCATTCAGGAAGCAGGAAATTCCTCTGCCTTCAGTTCTACCAAACAGAGCAGCAGAATCCAGACTCGGGGACCAGGGCCATCACCAAAGGGACAGAGGCCCCTCTCCTCCCACCTCATCACCCGCTACTCATGGCGCAGACAACATGAGTACAGTTTTTGCAAATTAAATTATTTCCCTATAGTACAATAAAGTATCATTCTCTTTGACAAGTCTTTCCAATCCCATTCTTAAAATTAACTTATAAAAATGTGCAAAACCCAACATTGACTTCAAATAAATAGGGCAAAGTGGGAGGAGCTAAACTTTTTTTTTTGTTGTTCTTTTTTTCTTTTTTTTTAATTAAAAGTTTAAAAACAGCAGCTGCAAGAGTCAAAGTAGCTGTGGGGTGACTTGCAAGTGGCGCTTGTTCGCCACAGTTCTCAGCTGCGCTTCTAATTGAGGTTTGTTGTGCTCAAAATTCACAATGGATGCCCCCGCTGAGGTCCTTCACCACACCCTCCTTGATCAACTTCAGGAGGAACTTGGTCTCTGTGGTCACATTGTGCATGACCTGAGAGTTCATGGCGCTCATGCACTGACTGTCAAAGTAATGCAGAGGAGTCCTGGGTCGACTGAGGTCATATCCAAAACCTGCCAAGCTGACTTCATCACACAGATGTGTGGCTAGGACAATGGCAATGGCACCGATTGTGGGGATATTCTGAAAAGGACACAGACCAATTTATTACATCTAATCATTTTTAAAAATAATACTCTAAATTTTATTTTTATTTTCCAGACAGAGTTTCACTATGTAGCTCTTGGCCGTCCTGGAACTCATAGAGACCTCCCTGCCTCTGCTCACCAAGTGCTGGGATTAAAGGTGCGCACCACTGTACCCAAACATTTTTTAGTTTTTTAAATTATAATTACAATGTTTCCCCTTTCTTTCTTCCCTCCAAACCCTCCCACGTCCCCTTCCCTGCTCTCCTGAAAATTCATGGCCTCTTCTTTTCATTAATAGTTACTGCAAGCATATATGTACAGACATGTATACTCCTAAATATAACCTGCTCAGTCTGTATGTTACTTGTATGTATGTTGTCAGGATGTCTACTTCCAAGAGGATGCTCCGTGGTCCTCCCCAGGGCGTGGTTTCTGGAGCCCGTCCCTCCTGTGTGGCACACTCCCTATTAAATTCCCATCTCTCCCACATCCCCACTAGCTGCTAGTGTCCCGCCAAATGTTACCATTTGCTGTTCCTAGACTATTTCTATATGCACAGCAGCTACGCCAGACCCGAGTTAAGGACGTTTCTTCCTTGGTTTTTAGATTTTCATTAACTAACTCAACTGTCTTTCTATATTTTCAAGGTGTGCCTGTGTGTACACGCACACTTGGACACACATGTCACCGTGCATGATTGGAGGTCAGGGGACAACTTTCAGGAGTTGGTTCTTTTTCACCATGTGGGTCTGGGACTGAACTCCTGTTACCCAGCATGCACTGCCACACCCATTCCTGTCTGTTTGGTTTTTGTCCGTCTGTTTGTTTGTTTTTTAAGATAGGGTCTTGCCATGTAACCCAAGCTGGCTTCTACACCATAGCCTCCTGCTTCAGCCTCTGGAGTGCCCAATTACTGGAGTCACTCTGCCTGGCTTCATTTACTCCTTCCAAAAATAGAGCCAACTAACTTTAGTCTAGCACGGCCAACGCTCAACCCACTCTAGCTTCTCACTGTTGACATGTTCTCTGTCTGCCTAGCATCTTGCCATGTCTCCTGGGATGTGCAATCCTGGCACAAGCTTTTTGGATCTTCATTCAAGTTTTGGGTAAAAATAGCACCATAAGGCAAGTCCAGAGAGTCTGTAGCTGACACAACTCCCTGAAGGTTGCCACTCGTCCAGCTGCAGGCTATTTCCTGTGTCCAAAATGTGTGAGCCCAGCAATGTTTCAGGCATTTCTAGAATACTTGTTCATACATAGTCTTGGGACTAGTACCCACATGTACTGATACCTTCTTGTATTTCATGAATGCCTTATACATGTAGTATAATTCTATACAGTGTTTTTTAGTGTATCTACTTTTTTTTTTTTTTTTTTTTAAGACAGGGTTTCTCTGTGTAGTCCTGGCTGTCCTGGAAACTCACTCTGTAGTGAGTTTCTTCTGCCTGCCTCTGCCTCCTGAGTGCTGGGATTAAAGGCATGTGCTGCCACCACCTGGCTAGTGTTATTAACATTTTGATTATGACCTGCCACATGAGGGCAGGTATGGAATTTTCCACTTATGATGTCCTGTTAACTATCAAAGAGCTTTTGATTTTCAGACTCAGGATGTTCAACCTGAATTTGTTTTTGGATAGCTTTTAATGTACAGATGTTTCTCTCATCTTAGTGAAGCCTATAGCTTCCATAAATATTCCTCTTCTGTAAACTGGCACAAGAGACTCCCAGAGTTCACAGAATCTGGTGGGGTCAGGGATGCTCCCAGCAACTCATCATTCATTCTAAATTGCTTCCTGCTCCATGGGTATCCACTTCTCAAAGTTCACCTCAGTGTAAAAAAGGACCATCGCAGTCTGCATGCTTGTAAACAGAGGCCAAGAGAGGTGACTGCCAAGGACGCCTCCTTGCTACCGCTGTGCGGCACTGTGTGTGTCTTCTAGCATTCAGCCCGGAGCACACAGGGGATCCACAACCAGTGCCTGTGCAACTGTGTGTGCAACAAGTGTTCATGGAAGCAACACATGGCGAGAGATCAGAAAGGACTGCAGGGCCTGCCAAGAAGGCTTAGCAGGTAAAGGTACCGGCTGCCAGACCTGAGGAGCTGCGTTCAGTTCCCAGGACCAACAAGGCGGAAGGAGAGAACTGACTCCTGCAAGCTGCACCCCCCCCTCAAATAAATGAATGTAATTCTTAAAAAGGACCAGAATGTCCTCAAATTGTACCATTTGCACCAAACAGCTGCAAGGCCCCCAAACTTCTCCATGATGGGAGGACACAAGCACAAGGAAGTCTCTGACATGGAGATTTTCAGAGCAGACCTAGGCTGGCGTTGAACCTGCCATGAAGTAGAGAATAACCTTAAGAGTTTTGATTCTCTTGCCTCCACCTCCTGGGTGCTGGGATTACAGACGTGTAACACCATGCCTGGTTTGCGTGGTTCTGGGCATTGAATTCAGGGATTCACTAATGCTGGTCAAGCAATCTATCACCCAGCTCCCAAAAACCCTGAGTGTGCTAAGCACTTGGCTGATGTTTTCTTCGGCTATAGTGGCATCATGCCTTGCCAGTGAGCGTGTGGTGATGGACTCATTTAAACCCTGCCTTCATTCAGCCTTTTGCTATTAGTGCCATTCTATTTGAAGCAAGGTTTCACTATGTAGCTGAGTCTGGCCTTGAACCTGCATTAACTTCCTGAGTGCTGGGATAATATAAAAGGATTTTTTATCTTTATTATTTATGTGTATGTACATGTGTGAATGTATGCTCTGTGTGTGTGTGTGTGTGTGTGTGTGTGTGTGTGTGTGTGTGTGTGTGTGCGCGCGCGCGCGCGCGTGCTGAAGGAGGCCAAAGGAGGGTACCAGATGACCTGGAACTGGAGTTACAGACAGTTGGGAGGCACCTGATGTAAGTGCTGGGAACAGAACTCAGGTCCTCTGTAAGAGCAGTCAGTGCTCTTAGCTGTAAGTGCTCAGCCATGTCTCCAGTCCCATCCCTTTTATTTATTCAGGCTCATTTTTTTTTAGCTCAAGAAAGAATTCTTTGTATTTCAAACACGTTTACTTGATCATACATGTGCTAAATCTTGTTTAAGAAAGACTTCCATACAGGTCTTAAAAGTTTTAAAGACATGGGGCCCAGCGACAATAAAAGCATTCTCCACACTACCCCCCTTCTGGCAGCACATGCTAACTGCAGGTTAACAACCTCCCCAATGGAAACCTCGAACACAAAGGTTCTCAAATTAGGCTGTGAGGTAAATCATCTGGGTGATTTTGAAAATCTCTGTGTACAGACCACAACCCTGACCAATGAAGTCTGACTGTCTGGGGTGGGGCCAGACTGAAAAGCACTGTCGTAGAGGGCAGACTTCACTCATCATCACCTGTGAAGTACTGGTAAGGACCAATTCTTAGTATCTTGTAGAGATGAAATATACAGAACCTTTTTAGATTAACAAAATACCTCTCTTAGGGTCAGGCAGTTGAATGTGACCCTGGGGCAAAGATATCTTAATTAACATGTCAATAACGTAAGTGTCACCATTCTAAAGGGTACATCCAGGAAAAAGGCTAATTCAACCACAAGGAACCCTGGCACCAAGGGGTGTAATGACAACCACACATGGACTTGCCTGGTCACAGAGTAGGTTTCCCTACCAGAGATGCCTCTAGTGGTATAGATGAGCCCACACAACACTCAAACACATTTTCTCTTGTACACAGAGGACAGTTAGTTGAGTCGTAACAAAAATACCTTATCTTGGCCCCAGAATCTCAGCTGAGGCTCTGAGTACTGAAGGATGTCAAAGGCAGTTTCTTTGATGATAACTGGGTTCAGAATCCTGAAGTGTTTTGCCTGGAGTGGGATTTTTTCTGCCACCTGCTTCCAAAAGAAGAGCCGAACCCAAAATGGCTGAGGAAAGAATGCAAGCAGTCATTAGGGATGCTTAACCACTTCATCCTGTCAACAGAGGGTAGGAAGGCATTCACTGCTAATTATGCCATTATGCCAAGGTCATGGGCACAACTCCGGGTGGCCTCATACCCAGCACCCTGGAGTACAATCATCTAAATGCATGGAAATCGAGTATTTCAACCCAATAATGTAACCCTGAAAGTTGCAATTTACATAGGTGGTGAACAGAAACGAAAGAACCAGTTTGTTTGCTTGAGGAAGAAATTCCTAAAGGATGACCTGAACCAGGGTGTCTCTTTTACAGTCCACAGCCATCATGTTCCCAGGGAAGGCCAATTAACAGGTTTGATTTTAGGGTAGTAAGTGCTATGGGTGCCTTGTTGGATGGGTTCTCACCTCGTACCCACTCTCCACTGATTTTATTTCCTAGTCTCATAAAGCTGCTTAGCAACTGACTAAGCAGTCACTTCATTTTACCATCAGAAATTCTACACAACAGGAAACCCAGAAGATCACAATAATCTCCAGAGAATTGGTCTCTGGACATATAAACTGTTCCATCACAAAGCACAGCCTGCTATTTAAAAAAAAAGTATATTTTAACCATGTATAGGGTGTGTGTGTGTGTGTGGTCACAGCACATGCATGGAGGCTGGAGGATGATCTCTGTAAATCATCTCTTTCTACCATGCAGCTCCCAGGGACTGAACCTGGTTTGTCAGGCATGGTGGCAGACACCTTTGCCCTCTGAGTCATCTCTGTGGGCCCTATCCTCTTAGTTTTGGAGGTAGCTATTGTGATCAGCTTGATAACTGAACTCTTGAAAATTATTTCACTCTAATGGACAGAACATTAATTAATTCCTGGAAAGACCAACAGGAGGAATCTGACCAAGTGGAGGTCTCTGACTCTGCCCTTCAAGAATGCTTTGGATTTACTCCAATGAAAGGATCCTGCCTACAGCATTTTGGAGAACATCTCTGGGATGACTATGTATAATCTTCAGCACAGTTTACATTCATCCAGGCAAATCTCACTTCATTCAAGTCCATGTCTGGAGAACAAGGCAATCAACCCCAGAATAGAAAGAGCAGTCAACTTAAAGTTGATAGTCCTTTTTAGTAATGACCACCATTTTCACACAAAATTCTTTTCATAAAAGTTTTGGTTTACTATTGTTTGTCTCATGTAGCCAGGCTGGCCTCAAACTCTGTGTAGCTGAGGATGGCCTGGAGGTTATTCCTCCGCCTTCCAAGTGCTGAGAATATAGCTGTGTACAACTGGTTTTATGTGGTACTGGGGACTGAACCCAAGCCTTATGCATGCTAGGCAAGCACTCTACAGGCTGGGCTACATTTTCAGTTCACATGCCAATTCTTTTTTGGTTTTTTGAGACAGGGTTTTTCTGTGGCTTTGGAGGCTGTCCTGGAATTATCTCTTTTAGACCAGGCTGGTCTGGAACTCACAGAGACCTGCCTGCCTCTGCCTCCCGAGTGCTGGGATTAAAGGCATGCGCCACCACCACCTGGCCCACATGCCAATTCTTAATCAGGTTCCGAAAGCAAATGTGCAGAAGAGTTCTGAGGGGTTTCTACACAGAGGGAGGACATAATTTCAAAGACAACACACGTCTGTATTCTACTGTGTCTATTTAAAAATAAAAGTCCATAATTGCCATCTAAGATGCCCTCACTTTTTACCAGTGCCAGATTTCCAGAAGCATTGTGAGTGCTTACCAGGGTTTCATTTTTTAACATTGCTTGAAGCCACTTGAAATCAACACTCTTAAATAAAACGCTGACGAACAAGTCATTGGCAAAGTATTCCACGTCCGACAGTGGTGCACCCTCTGGATAAGTCATCCTTATGGTAGTTTTATTTCCAACGTGTTCAGAATAACCCTCAATTGGGGCACTGTTTAACCTAGTGAAACAAAAAGGAACAATTGACAAAGAAAGTCATTAACCACCTTGTCACACCATGTGGCAGCCCAATATCCTATGGCATATCCTCCATGAATCAGGACATTGTTGGAGTAGGATTCCCTCCCAGGGGCCTCGGTGCTCTACACAGCCTTGTCCTTTAGGTCACTGGCTGAGGGCAGCCTGAAGTCCATGATGGAGCACCAGGATATAACCCTAGACTGTCAACTTAAGCAGTTCTGTCATATCCTGGTGTTTGAAGCTAATCCAAACGTAACATTTAGGGCTTTCCTGGAATTTTCTTATTTTGAAAATCTGTTTGCTCAGATAATGAAGAGTTCTTGCCAGTACCCTGAGCACTTGGGGTTGCAGAGCTATGCCACTGTGCCCAGCTAGTTAATGTCTTCTGAAATCTCATAAAAATATCAGACACACAGTTGTGTCTAACCTTGCTATCTTCTTCCAGATCTTAACACCTAATCCTATGGTTACTAATGCAGGCTACTCAATAGGACAATTAAATGCCAAAGCATGCCTTTGGGCCAGATGGTTCTCTTTCTTCTGTTTTTTAAAAGGAAGGGCATTATTAATATAAATAAAGTCTGTAGATTAGATCTGTAAGTATTGATGTATGGATACAATTTATTAATTGTATTATGTTAACTTTCTGATCCTGAGTATCGTGTCTCTGTTCTCAGGAAAAACACACTCAAGTTCTCAAGGCTTGCTATTTGCAACTTTCAAAAAGGGGTCAGCAGAAAGTAACAGTACAAGATGGTATCTGACCTTCATTGGCTCAACTTAAAATCTTTCAAAGCAATGTGCATTTGACAGAACCCAATTCTGAACTTTGGGTTTTGTTCTCTTCCTGGGCTGCTATCATTTGCGGTATGAAACTTTTTATGATGCCACAGTGATAGCCACGTGGAGCCTGAGGGGAAATGACTGGCTTTCTAAACTAAGCTAAGCGGTGTAGTAAGTTAGGGGGAGTCAGTGCATCCCCACTCCTCACCTTATATGCATGATGGGCTGACATGGGGAGCCTTCCTCAAATGCTCTCCAACTTACTGACTGAAGTTAAAGCGCAACAGTATGGCTAGTCTAGCCAGCCAGCCTGCCCAGGGGATCCCCTGCCTCTACCTTCTGAGCCTGGAATTATCTACAGGAGGGCTGTCACGCCTGCTTGGCATTTGCTCAAGCACTGGAGACTGAGTTACAGTTCTGCAGCAAGAGCCTTATGCACTGAGCTATCTCCCTTGCCCCTTAATGCATTCCGGATGGAAATGTATGCTGGGTGTACAGGTGGGAGCCTCCTCAAAAGCTAAGAGCATCTGTATAGATAACGGGGGGAATAAGCAAATGGATGGAGTGTGGTCAATCTGGGAGGAAATCTGGGAGAAGGTAAATGGGAACTATTTGTACTATTTCCACAAAATTATGAAAAAAATACTTCTTAAACTATCTCTTTCTAACCAGGTTCCAAGCACCCTTCACTGTCTCTGGTGCACAGAAGCCTCCTTCCCTTGATGTCCTCATGCCCCAGCCCTGCCACCCCAGGACATCAAGTCTCTTTTCTGGCCCCTCCCAGCTGTCTTAGCCCTGTCCTCATACCAGGTAGGGTTCCTCACTCAGCCATCCCCAATTGAATCCTTTCTGAGAAGACACACACCACTGTCCTTCAAAGCCAGCTTGATGTGTAGCCTCCTCTAGCTACCTGTCCTAGAACTGAAGGTCTGTACTGTTAGCACCCGTTCTCTTACCCACATCTTTCCCATAGCCTGGCCCTGCACCCCTGGGTGGGTGGGGCTCCTTCCCATAGCCTGGCACTTGATTGCTGGATGGGTGGGGCTCTTGGCCCTGTTTTGTACACCGCTACTTGCACACAGGCATTCATTTATCTGCTCAGTGGGACCAGGTACAAGGTTGTGGAAGCCTCCAGACCTTGTATTTGAGCAGTGAGGGACTGACTGACACCTTTGTGTCTTCCGTGACACCTGCTAGGCATGACAACCTATTAGGGTAACTTCTGAGAAGAAAGCGTCTACCTGGCTCCTGTTCACAGCAGTCTGCACTCCCCGGCTTCTGCTCCTTCCTTGTCTCTTTCCCTTGCTCCTTTGAACACTTACTTGTCCACCCTCTGCACCCTGCTGCAGCCCTCGGCTTCCTATGCACGCTCCTGAAGCAGCTGTGGCATTTACTGAGCACAGAACCCTGTCATTCACCGCTCCTAGCACTTTACACCTGTTCACGCAGTCTCCACAGTGGATGAACCCCACTGCTTCCAGGCTACAGATGAGGAAACTGAGGCAGCATGGAGTGGGTAGTCTAAATCACAAAGGCCCTATGTGAACATCATCACTTTGGGGATCAAAGTGGCTGGAGTGGATTTTGTCACGTCCCTCTCAAACCAGTTTCTTCCACATCCGAGTTTCTGACAGCATTTCTGCTAAGGCCTCAGGCCCCTGGAGTAGCGATCTTGGTTGGCATCACTTGACATTAGTTTTCAGATCATCACAAGGGGCTGCCAATGACTTTTCAGTATGCCACTCAGACCCAGTCTTCTCCCACTGTTTGCACTTTCTGTGGGCAACCCCCAACCATGTATGTCACACCGTCATCCTTCGGCTGTGTTCCCATTCTCTTGTCTTCAATCCGCCCAGACTGAATTAGGACCCCACTCTTGTGGTTAGTTTACTGCAGCGTACTAAGGGCTGGAAAAACAGACCCAGGCCGTGAAGACACCTATTCTATTCTAAACAACTTGCCTAAGGAACTCATCAGAGCTGGATAAAAAGACACGTGGATAAAAATATGCAAAGCAGTTTTGCGATGAAAAGTAAAAAGATGGGAATATTCTAATGTGTAGCAAGAGTCACCAAATCATTTATCTTCTTTTTAGGAGTTCTAAGATATTAATTGCTTCAGAAGCTAATCATAAATATAAGTTTAAAATACTTTGTAAAGCCAGGCTAGAGAGATGGCCCAGTGGTTAAGGGTGCTTGCTGCTCTTCTAGAGGACCACAATTTAGTTCCTACACCCATACTGGGTGGCTCACAAGAGCCTGTAACTTCTGATGTCCTCTTCTGGCCTCCATGGGCACTTGCATGCATGTGCACAAACCCAGACACTCAAATATAAAACAAAGCCAAGCTTTAGAGAGAGATGGAAACCCAGATGCAAGCACGTGTCCAGGGCAAGAGTGACCAGCAGCACAGCAAATCAGCAGGGGCTGGTGACTCATGCTATGGGGAGCTGGAATTTCTTCCTAACAATGGGAATATTTCACATTTATCACTGGAAAACCTTTTCCTTCCCTATGCTGTCACTGAAACCAGGACCTTGTGAACTGTAAGCAAGTGTTCCATTACTCAGCTACACCCCTAACCTAGGAAAGTAACTTCTAAACACGGTGTGCTGGGCCATGCCTTTAATCCTAGCACTTGGGAGTTCCATGACAGCATGATCTACATAGTGAGTTCCAGGACAGTCAGAGCTATTTAGAGGGACCCTGTCTCAAAAAAAACAAAACAACCCCCCCAAAAAAAAACAAACCAAAAAAATACCCCCAAACCAAACAAATAAGCAAATGAACAAAACTCCCTTTAAAGAGTTAGGTAAATCAGAACTCTAGGATAGCTGTATACTGCTTATGTTGAGTTCTTACTACTCTAGAGGTGTCTAGCCTAGCCAGCACTGCCTCCCAGGGCTCACTACCCTTACACCCTATTTCCTAAGCCAGGTGTCCCCCATCGTCCTTCTGTCCTACACCACCCTGTAGCCTCCACCTAACTTAACGTTCTGTTTACCAAGCCCTTCCAGCCTTCCAAACCTCCCTCTTCTGAAAGGCTTAGCAAGTGACTCAAGCCCATAGCATACTCCTTGAATCTAAATAGTTTGGGACACTTGGCCATTTGTGGTTTTGTTTCAAGAGTTGAAGCAGGGATGCTGAAAGAGCATCCAGGGTTCCTCTCTGTCCCAAGAGCTGCACTGGCCCAGAGTACAAGACCAAATTCCCAAGCAAGGCTGGTTTTGAGTGCAGATACCTTATAACCACATCGAACTGGTTGAGAGCGTGGCCCAGCTCTAGTCCATGGAGGATGCCTCCGTTGCCAACAACCACGCAGCGCTTGCAGTGCTTGGCTCTCAAGTGTTCAGGAAAGTCACGCTCAGGTAGCAAGTCCAAGAGGCTCTGGACTTTACTGGAGAACTTCCGGAATCCAAAAGGAGGGTCATATTTGAGTTCAGCTTCACTGGCCCTGGGGACCTTCTGCACAAAGGGCTCCAAGTTCATGCTGTACCTGTGCTCAAATAACCGAGCCATGGCTTTCTTTGCAAACCTGGGCCGGCATTCCTTCTGTAGGACTTGCTGAGCATATCTCTGAGCTCTCTGCAAGGGGAAGACCAACACAGGCTTTAGAACCTCTCCAACATTAAATTAACACTGTGTAGACACTCAGTCCTGTGATGCCTGGAGTCACTCCCTTGTTGATTACTATCTGGTAATATAGAACATTTGCCTTTTAGTTTTTGCTCAGGAACAAGAAGGAATCAGGACGCCACATCACATGACAAGAATAACAACTCTACTAGGGCACTGATTTCATTATGGCAGTGAGACAAACCAGTCACATGAAGACGGGCATTAACAAGACTGCACTTACCTGCAGTGTGTAAAGTGGTCAGATTTACAGAAGCACAAAGCAGGATGGTGGGAACCAGGAGCCAAGGACATCTTGGGGAGAGGAAATGTGTCTAACAGGCATGGTGTTTCAGTTTTGCACACTGAAAGGTTCTAGAGGGCCAGCAAGTTGGCTCAGTAGGTCAAGGTGGCTGGTGCTAAACCTGATGACACAGCCTGAGTTCAGTCTCTGGGACCCACGTGATGAAAGGAGAAAGTTGACTCCCAAAGATGGTCTTCTGACCTCCATACTATGCTATGGTACAGACAGACAGACAGACAGACAGACAGACAGACACACACACACACACACACACACACACACACACACTAAAAAAAGAGGAAGCTCTAGAAGTCTGCTTCACCATGCTGAATTGGGGCTGGTAATGTAGCTTAGTGGTATGTTTTCTTTGTATGTTGCAAAGCTTTTGTTGGCTTAACACTGCACCCTAATGATTAAGATGGTAAATTGTGTTATGTATTTTGTTTGTTTGTTTTTTACCACAACATTAATAAAGAGCTTCATATTTTCTACCTAGCAGGGTAAGAACCAGTCTTGTTTATCAGTAGAGTTAATCGGCTTTGGGCAGTCTGGAAGACAAATGACCTTCGGTGTTATCAGGGAACTCGTGTCTTGACACACAGGACTTGCTGGTTCATGCGCATTTCCCCAGAGCTAATGGCTCCTATCAGCAAAGAACAGCTGCCGAAGGCGAAGCCGGAAGACTCCCCACATGCTGCCCCTGCATCTTCACGCTCTCTATTTTGTGTTTAGCATCTCTGCCGGCCTCACAGAGATGCTCCGATGCAACTTCCTCTTCTCTGCATGTGAGTACATCAGATGTGTGGCATGAGGTCCTGTCCTTCCCTGGATAGCGATTTCTAGGAATTTGTCTTGTCTTTAAACCTGTCAGTGTATCACAAATAATCTTACTATTGTAGTTTTAAACATTACCTCAGCTGTTTCCCTCAGTCTTATTATTTCTACTCTACTTTTATTACACTTTATTCTGTGTGTATGTGTGTGTGCATGTGCCTTCGTGTGTGTGTGTGTGTGTGTGTGTGTGTGTGTGTGCGCGCGCGTATGTGTGTGTGTATGTGTGCATGTGCCTTAATGTGTGCATGTGTGTGTGTATGTGCTTAGTGTGTGTGTGCACATGTGTATGTGTGTGGGTGCATGAGCCTTAGTTTGTGTGTGTTCACATGTGTATGTATGTATGTGTGCATGTGCCTTAACCTGTGCATGTGTGTGTGTATGTGCTTAGTGTGTGTGTGTGTGCATGTGCCTCAGTGTGTGTGTGCATGAGTCTTTGTGTGTATGTGTACATGTGTATGTGTGTGGGTACATGAGCTTTAGTGTATGTGTGTATGCATGTGCCTCAGTTTGTGTGTGTTCACATGTGTATGTGTGTGCATGTGCCTTAACGTGTGTGTGTGTGTGTGTGTGTGTGTGTGTGTGTGTGTGTGGACAATTCATGGGAGTCAGTTTTCTCCTTCCTCCATGTGGGACTAAGGGATGGTCTGACTGTCAGGCTAGGCAGCAGCCAAACTTTTTACACATGCAGCTACTTTACCAGTCATTTTCTAACATAGTTCCCTCATGAAAATCTTTTAAAAGTATAGCCTTGAAAAGTTATTTAATGCCTATAAAGGGCACAGCGTGTGCATTCTGGGAATCAACTCCACTTTGAAAAAGGGGAACTGAAAGTCTCACAGCCTCATACTCCCTGTGTCACCGTAAGACAAGGTCCACTAGTGAGTTCCCTTTGTCGTTTCAGGGTGGCCTAACCAGCAGAATAAATCACTGATATAGGCTGCTTGTGGCAAGGCTTGAAATAGCAGCTTCTACACCCACAGGAAAGTGTAACATTCCAGAGAACAGCGCCTCACATATGGACTGGCATCTTCCCCCAGGGTCAGTCAGAAAGCCAAGCAAGGAACTGATCATGACCCTGCACTCTCACAAATGCCAAGCAGGTGAAACTCCACCTGCTAGGGGCCTTAAAATAAAACTGGGGGAGGCAAAGCACACAGAAGGGCCCTGCTTCCATCTTCATTCACCTCTATAGACTTCAGGTCTGGTAGTTGTAAACAGCTGTTTTTGAGCCCCGAAGGCCCAGTTTGCCCCTAGGATACCCCATGCCCAGCACATGGGTTCACACATCACCCATGATACAAAGGAACATCCGCACAGTACTAGGAGACCCAGGGAGGCGTCTCTCTGTCCGGACTGGAAGGAGGTCGTAAGCAAGCTAGAAGCATGTGCACAGCTCTCTTGTGCTGCCAAATCTTTTCTTTAGACATTTCCTTTGAAGAGGAGTGAAATTTCATTCCATTCCCTGACCTGGCAAAGCATTCCGGTTTCAGGCTTCAAATTTAATCTAGTATATTGTGAGCAGAGCCCAAGGCCCAGCTGTCACCCTCTGTGGTAACTCTTCCTGTGCCTGCCTCACAGCCAGGGCAGGAAATCTGAGGGAGCAAGCAAGCATACCTGAATGCACTGGAGATGCTGCAGCCACCGCAAGTCCCTCCTCACTTTCGTTTCCATTGTTTAAAGCCACACTGAGCTCTCAACGTGTCTGCAATCACGTGGGATAACTTTCTCCTATCTAGACCGTACCCGAGCGTCTCTCTTCCTTTCCCTACATGAGGTTCACAGCCCAAAAAAATTCAAAGAAGGAACAGCTCACTTTAAGGAACTGGGGTGCTTTGAGGAAGCAGTGGGGAGCATGGCAGCCAAGCCAGGGAGGGCTGACTGGCAGGCGCCAGCTCCTGGCCTGGATGGCACCATCCAGGCGATCTTGGGGTGCAGAGAGCTAACGTTACTCTTGGAAATAAAGGCTTTAGTTCTTCAGTCTCCAGGTTGAGCTGCAAACTACCAACAATGAAGAAGAAAGACATCTTGAAGGTCCAGCTATTTATTGACGTGACAATTTGCCATGAAACACCACAACATGAAAGTTCACTGAAGGGAATTAAGGTCAAGGTGGTTCCCTCAGCAAAATCTCCATGTCATTTCCACTTCTTAACTTGAAGGATCATGTTTCTCAGAAATACAAGTGGCATACTTGTGAACACACAATGAAGTTCCATCCTCATCACCTACTGATTTTATAATTTCAGCAGAGGGGGGGTGTTTAGGTCAAAGAACTTCAGGTTAACTAAATATTCGAAGGAGTCTAGCGCCACCACAGCTCTTGGGATCCGAGGACAGTTATTACAGAAACGCTTGTTTGCACATCTGTAATTGCGCACTGGCCTCTTCCCTTTGAGGACCAAAGCATTTTGCCTAGTGCCTGGCACAACTCAGAACAAAGTTTTCAGGTACAAGTTACCTGTCCACAGCCTTACTGTGACTCAAAGCAGACAAAACTTAAGGATGCTCAAGGGAAGCATGCCACAGCAAAACCTCAGTGAGATAGGGGATACCAGGGCTCTGAGTGGAATTAGTTGAGAACTACAGTGACAGAACACTCCAAAATGAATTAGGGTGCAAATGGTGTAACTCAGAGAACAGCCCAAAGGAGTAAGTCCTACTGTGTGCTTTCATATTCACCAATTGTTAGCATGGAAAGGCTGGGCAGTGTAGGGGAAGCTGTAGCCACGCCTTCTTAGGGGCTGGCTATAGGAGTACCTGAGCAGGCTTGTGAGGGCATGGTCAGAGTGAGTAGGGGGGCTGTGTTTTGGGTTTGGTTTCTCTTTGCTGCTTGCTGTACAGACTACCACCAGCTGGCTGGTTCGCTCTGTAAGTAAGGCTTTTCCCTATTAAATACCCTTATATTTCTACCTGACTCCATATTGGTAATTTCCTACTATAAGGCAGTTTCAGATCTATTTAACTGGTAGTACACCATGTTGGTCATAGCAGTGGACACTGGGTGGAGACTTTAGTTTCTTCATCTCTCAAGCTTTTGGGGTGGTCTGTGGGAAGAGAGGTGGTACCAAGGACATGAGGGAAACCTGCAGGGTGCTGCTGCCTTAGCTCAAGGAGCAACTCAGCAGGATGAACCTGCTGACAGCAAACCCAGTAAGTGGGATCTGTGGAGCTGAACAAGCCGAGGAATTGGGCCACGATTATTAACTATACTGCACGGAATGCTGTCTCCAGGGTGATCTCTGGTCTTTGGCTCTCTCAAAGATGAGTGGGCCAAGTTCAAATCACTCCACCGCTCACTCAGACCAAGCCTAAATTAACACAACATGCCAGTCTCTCCTCAAATGTCTTTTAAGTGCAATTTCACTCGGAACCACACTTTCGATATGCCTAAGCATCTCTTCAGAGACTACTACTGGTCTTGTTAACAATTGGCACATTATCTGACACTTTTAAGTTAAAAAAAAAGAAAAGAAAAACCACAAACTCCACAGCTTGGCAGCTGTTCTCTCTCTGATGCAGAATGAATGTCACTTGGGCACAGTGCAACTGGGAACACTAGTCTGACAGGGCAGTGCCAGGGCAGGGTACCATGTGTGTTTCCAGATGCTGGATGTAACTAATGAAGCTAACAGGGTTCGCTCTTCTGAGACTATACATTCATGATTACTCAAATCTGCCCACGTGTAAAAGCAGGGGTGTGGTGCACATCTTCGACCCCAGTACAACATACAACAAACTAGTGCTATCTGCTGTGGTTTTAAGGACTTCCTGTTTGTCTACTTTCCATCTCTTCTCGTGCTGTGCCCCATCTCAAGCCCTCCATGGTAAGCTG